CTCTACATCCCACGTCTGGTCTCGTCGTCCATCTCGTGCTCGTCCTACCTCCCCTGTTCCGCGTTCTCACCCTATGTTGCTTCGCTCTCACGCATCTCGTGCTCCTTCTCTCCTCCCGTCTCCTCCCCCTTCGTCACTTGCTGTGGCCCCGCCTCCGTTCTCGTACTTTCTCCATGCTGCGCGTCCCCTTGTTTCTCGTGTCCTTGCCTCTCTCGTTACCGATCCGTCCATTCCTAACTCGAGTCTGTCGAATCTGGTCGCTGTAGTCACTAACTTCGCCGCTACCCGCCGCCTGGACTACGCCACCGCTATGGTCTTTGACCCTGCCTGCCCTCTGGCCGTCGGGGGTGTGGTTGCTCTTGGCAATGACGTCCTAGAGGACAGGCAGTTCAAGCTCGCTTTCCTGTCTGAGGCCGCTCCCCATCTCTGTTCCATGCTGCTAGTCCCTAAGGGAGACCCAGACGCCCTTGACATCCCAACCCCTCGCACCTACGCTGAGGCCACCTCGGGACCCTGGGCCTCTCAGTGGATAGCTGCCATGGAGCAGGAGATGGCATCTTAGAGATCCACCGGTACCTTCATTGACGCAGTTCCCCCACCAGGGGTGAACGTAGTCGATGGCCAATGGCTCTTCGAGGTGAAGCGCCCTCCTGGAGAGCCACCTGTCTTCAAGGCGCGCTATGTTGCTGGAGGCTTCCGTCAGTGTGAGGGGGTAGATTTCTTTCAGACCTTCGCCCCGAACCCAAAGATGACCACTCTTTGGGCACTGCTACACGTAGCGGCACAGCGTGACTATGAGCTGCACTCCCTCGACTTCTCCACAACTTTTCTCCAAGGCAGTCTACACGAGCAGGTCTACCTGTGCCGCCCTGAGCGCTTCTCCGGCACCTTTCCACCTGGCACTGAGTGGCTCCTTAGGCGCCCCGTCTACGGCTTGCGACAGGTGCCCCGTGAGTGGCACGACACGCTGCGTGCTACATTTGCGGACTTGCAGTTCTTCCCTTCGTCTGCAGATTTCTCTCGCTCTTCGTCCGTTCTGGCCAGACTCTGTTCTACATCCTTTTCTACGTAGACGACCTGGTTTTTGCTACTGTAGACAGAGACACGCTGGCCTCCGGGAAGGCCGAGCTGCTGAGGAGACACACTTGCACTGACTTAGGAGAGCTGCGCTGCTACCTTGGCTTGCAGATCTCCAGGGACAGAGCAGCGTGCACCATCACTCTCTTACAGTCACACTTGGTGTGCCAGGTCCTTCAGAGGTTCGGCCTTCAGTTCTCCTCTGCACAGCCCACCCCTCTGCCAGTAGACCACCGACTCTCTGCCCCAGTCCCGGAAGAGGTTGTAGAGCCTAATGGTTCCTATGCAGAGCTGGTGGGTTGCCTCGTGTACCTGATGACTTGCACTCGTCCAGATCTTACATACCCTCTCAGCATCCTGGCTCGCTTTGTGGCCCCCGGCAGACACCGACCACTGCACTGGTCCGCAGCTAAGAGGGTTTTGCATTATCTAGCAAGTACATCGGGCATGGGGCTAGTGCTAGGAGGATGTAGACCAGTGGTCCTTACCGGGCACACAGACGCTTCTTGGGAAGACGACACCGATACTCTCAGGTCCTCACACGGCTACTGCTTTAGCCTTGGTGCAGGTGCCATCTCGTGGAGGTCCACGCACTCCTCGTCTGTTGCCGAGTCTAGCTGTAAGGCCGAGATCTACGCTGGTGCCATGGCGGCACAAGAGCTCCGCTGGCTGACCTTCTTGCTCACTGACCTGGGTGAGCGGCCTAGCTCTGCCCCAGTTCTGTACACTGACAACTGGTCCATGATCCTCCTATTTCAGCAGCCACGACTTGAGGGCAGAGCGAAGCACATCCAGCTGCGGTACTTCCTCCTATGCGAGCTGCAGCAGCATCACCAGGCCCGCGTAGTACACTTGGCCTTTGGTGCCAACACAGCTGATATCTTTACTAAGGGGCTTGCGCCTCAAGATCATCAGCGGCACTGTGTACAGCTAGGTCTCGTTCCTGTAGCCTCTCGCTTGCTAGGACCTTGATTGTGTACTGACCTTTATATATATTACCCTGACTGGCTTTGTGGCCTCTTCCCAGTGGCTGGACTAGTAGTGCCGCCTTGGACTTGCTCTTGCCTTGTCTGTACTCGTTTGACTGGTCTTTAGACCCTTGCCTCGGAGGCTGGACTAGTAGTGCCACCCTGAGCTGCTTCTCTCTCACCAGGCACTGCCCCTATCCAGTCTAGGGGGTGTGTCAAACATATCTTGTATGTTGTTATAGTCTATACAAGGTTGTGCCTTAGGGAGTACAACCCATTAGGTTATATTCCCTTGTATGTCACTGTTCTAGCTATTCTTTCACTTCAACAATATATTACATATATTATATGTATATATGTGTGTAAAGGCTAGATATATGTACTGCAGATCTTGGATCCTACTGTAGAGGGTACAACCCCCCATCTTGTATCCCTCTCTCTTCTAGTCCAACTCTCTTCTCTCTCAACATTCTCTCCTAGTCTAAAACCTCTCGCTACTTTCTTATGTCAAATTATATATTTAAAGATCTATTTATGTGGGCTTGGTAGTTGTGCTACTTATTGATGTAAGAAATTGAAAAGTGGTGCAGGAGACTAAGTATAAAATCTGCAGATACAAGTACTTGAAGTAGAAAGTAATACTGCAAGTACCTTCTGTAACAGCCACGAGTAACAAGTTGTAATACCAAAGTCAGTGTTACAGCCTCGTGATACTTCAAGACTTGAACAAGGATCTTTGCTGGTATGGTAGAATAGTAAGACAACGGAAGTCTTAGAACTTGTAAGTGTTGACAGAATTTACTGAGGAACAAGTTGATAATTGAAGTCATACAAGCTACTCTTATACCTGCTCGGTAATGTACTAGTTCAAAACTACTTGCGCTATATGCTCTAATCACTACTGAAAGGGGCGCAACTATTTGCGTGACTGAAACGGCCTGCTGATGTAACCATCCAGACCAACCGATAATATCTATCGAAACTACTTACAGAAATGCTTAAGTACGATTTTATCAGCACTCTCCTTCATATCTGGAAGTCCGATAGTATCACTACTTGATAATTCCGCAGAGTTCGTTGCAGTACTGGAACTTCTGACGTGTCAGCTTCTTGGTGAGAAAATCTGCAGCCATTTCATTGGTCGAGCAGTAGACCAACCGCATTCTCCCATTTTCGACTTCACCTTTGACGAAGAAGTATCGTAGCGAAATGTGTTTCGTCTTATTGGCAAAACCATGTTGGTGCGCGATTCTGATTGCACTTTGGTTTTTGCACTCCAGGGTGAACTGTGTACTTGTCATCAATTTCGCTTCTTCTAGTAGCTGTTGTAGAGAGAGACCTTCGCGAGTCGCTGTGCAAGCAGCTATGAACTTGGCTTCAGCAGATGATAGAGCTATGAGCTCTTACTTTGTAGAATTCTAGGACATAGTTCCAATAGGTTCGAGACGATAGATGAAGCCGGTGCGAGATCAACGATTAGAGGTATCTGCTGCATCATCATCATCGATGTACCCATTAAGCTATAGAGTTTTTGTAGTAGTGTCTTGATAGGTAAGTCCGAATTCATGTGTCAAAATATAATACTGTAGAGCGCGAAGAAGATCTAGCCGATTCTCCCCCTCTGGTCGACGCAGAAATTGCGCGAGCTGGCTAGCGGCATAGGCAAGATCCGGACGACGTTACAGCTGCGAATAGAAGATAACCCAGCTGCTGCTGATAAAGCTCTAGTTAAGTATTATCGAGTGGAGTGGTATCGTGTTTGTAGTCTGTAGGTAGAGATTGGTAAGGTGTGGTTACAGTTGAAGGTGTGAGGTTAAAGCATGCGGCTAGTGTAGCTGCGTATTTGGAAGCTGTAAGATGAATAGTAGTGGGGTTGCGGTGAATATTGAGGCCGAGAAACTGTGTGACTGTAGGGGTGATATTGATCTGTAGGTGTTGTTGAAGTTTCTATTCGAAGGCAGTAGCGAGGGAATTGGTGGTGCTGATGTTGAGTAGGTCGTCGACATAGGCGATGAGCAGGAAATAGTCAAGATTGTCGGTAAGTAGATACATTCCTTGGTCATGTGGAAGTTGACGAAACCCGGCAGTTAGTAACTGACGGTGGAGATACTGCTGCCATAGTCGTGGAGCCTGTTTAATGCCGTAGAGAGACTTTCTGAGATGGCAGACGCTAAGAGAGTTAGTTTCGTAAGAATGTGGATACTTGATCAGAATTAACGTGTCGACAGGTACATAAAGAAATGCATTGGCGACGTCGATTTGGCGAAGTCTGAAGTTCCGGCAGGCCGTGATGCAGAGGAGGATGCAGACACTAGTGTGTCTACCGACAGGAGCGAAAGTGAGCTCGAAAAGACTGCTCGAAGACGCGGACAACCCATCGCGCCTTGAAATTTTCAAAGGAATCATCAGCGTTCGTCTTCACACGAAAAACCCATTTGCCGGTAAATACCTTACTCCTCTTTGTTTCCTTCAGCGAGATTAGATCCCAGGTACCTCGCTTTTCCAAAGCTGCTAACTCCCGATCCATGGCTTCTCACCATCTTTCCCTGTGTTGACTTGTCAAAGCTTGGCGAACTGTGTCGCGGCTCCAGAATCTTACTGCTGTTGGACTGTACTGCGACTGCGAGTCCCAATACTTGTAATCCAGTTTCTGTAAAACGAGGACGATTTGAGTTGACACCGGAGAAGTTGTGTTCTGATCCCTGTTCCCCCCCAACTTCTTTAGGTGTCGCACGGATAGCTGCTTCGGAGACAACTGGCATTGGCCGCTGCTGGCGATTGTTAGGATTAAGGACGGAGTCTAGGTGAACTTAGGAGCTAGAATTACTCAAAATATAAATCCGAAATTCTGGACAGAAAAGTCGTCTTCACAAGAAACGACGTCGACGAAAACCTAGCCGTTGGAATGTCGCGAAACTTGGATATGTTGTAGCTCTTTATCTCAGCTACCGTTCCCAATTTGAATCATGTTGATTGATGAAGTATTCGCGACGCTATGGCTTTCGACGCATTAGGGGGTAAGCTGTAGGAGGAGAACTTAACTCAATCTCAAGAGTTCAAGCAAAGTTCAAGAATCTCACAAGGAATTTAGAGGAGCAAGAGAAAGGTTGGGATAGAAGAGAGGGATGAGAGGGAAGGTCCCAAGAGAGTCCCCAACCAAGGAAACCCCATAAGCACAAAGATTCCCTCCCTATAGGAACCCCAACTTTGACATTTGTCCCTTCCCAACCAATCCATCCAAGTTGGCCACCCTTGCCAACCTAGCTTGGTTGTTCCCAACCAATTTGCAGCTGTTACAGTAGAGTGACGAATTTCCCCAACCCCAAAGGTCCCAACTCCATATAAAGTCACCCCACAACTTCACTTTGTAACCGCCGCAATTGTAACGCAAGCTCATGAACTTTGAATCTTCATAGCTTTCGCGTTCTTGCTCCGATTGACGCGATTCTTGTTGCGTCGGAAAGATCTTCTCAAGATCTATCATCACAAATACCTGCTCAGACAGAATAACACAAAACACATTCCCAAACTCCAGAACACACACCACACAAATTCTTTCACACACAGTCAAACCATACGTGCGAATTGAAACAAGGGATGGGAGGCAGACAGAATGTGATAACATATGATGACATCACACAACAATCTCCCCCTCTGGCTGCCAACCATCAACCACCATACCAACATCTCAAGCATGCATACTCAATGCACACTCATCCCAGCAAGCTTCATGCCCTTCCAATGATCCGCCTCCGCCAGACGCTTGGTGAAAATATCTGCTGCCTGCTGATGGGTCTTCACTATCTCCAGCCGCACCTCCTTATCAAGGAGTCTCCTCACCCAGTGCCACTTAGGCCTTATGTGTTTTGTCAGCCCATGCAAACAAGCATTCTTGGCGAGCTTCACAGCAGACTCATTGTCACAGAACACAACTGTCGGCTCCTCCTGACCAACTCCCAACTCCTCCAACAAACGCCTTAGCCACACTACTTCCTTGGCCCCATGGTGTAAGGCCATGTACTCAGTCTCACATGAGGACAATCCCACCTCATTCTGCTTCTTGCTGCGCCAGCTCACAGCACCACCTCCTAGCAAGCACACATAACCCCCAATGCTGGTGCCATCCGCTTTCACTGAGTTGAAGCTAGCGTCAGTATAGCAACTCAAGAGCATCTCACCACTCTTCACATCTGCAGCACCTCTCTGCAACCGCTGCCTCACTCCACTGTACTCCAATCCCACTGATGCCGTAGCACTCACATAGCGGACCAACCTCTTGGCCGCTTCCAGCTGCTCATGACTAGGGCGTGAGACCACACTAGCCAACCGTGATGTAGAAAATGCAATGTCAGGCCGTGTATGATTTGCAGCATAATTCAGCGACCCAACCATCGAATGAAACAGCTTCCTGTCACTCTCACCCACTACCTCCTCATCAGCACATGGCTCCACAGTAAACCCTGAAGGTAGTGGTGTTGCTGGCTTTCCCCCATCTTGCAGCCCATACTTCTCAGCCAGCCCCTCACAGTACTTCCTCTGGTGCAACCTCAGCACACCCTTCTCCACATCTCTCTCCACATGCATCCCCAAGTAGTACTTCACCTCACCCATCTTGGAACACTTGAACTGCATCTCTAGCATCTGCTCTGCGCTGTCCAGCAAAGCAGTTGATGCAGAAAAGAGAAGGATATCATCCACGTACACCAAGAGCATGAGGATTTCATCCTTCTCCTGCAGCAGGAACAGGCTGGGGTCACACTCACTCTTCTTGAAACCCCCAGCCAGCAGCGCCTCCTCCAACTTGTGATACCATGCACGAGGCGCCTGCTTAAGGCCATAGATGGCCTTCTTCAGCCTGCAGACCCTGCCGCTCCCATCATCCAGCCCCTCTGGCTGCTTCATATACACCTCCTCCAGAATGATCCCATTCAGAAAGGCAGTCACAATGTCCATCTGCCGTATCTTCCATCCCAGGAGTGCAGCTATCGCCAACAGCACCCTCAGTGTTGTTCCTTTCCCCACAGGAGCAAACACCTCATCATAGTCCTTCCCTTTTGTCTGCTGAAACCCCCTTGCCACAAGCCTAGACTTGTATCGGGTCAGCTCCCCTTCAGGTCCATACTTGTGCCTGTAGATCATCTTGGAAGTGATTGCCTTCTTTCCAGGAGGCAAGTCACACAGGTCCCATGTCTCGTTCTCAATCAGGGACCCAAACTCCTCATCCTCACTCGCCTTCCACTTCTCCCCATTTGGTCCATTCAAGGCCTCTTCTCGAGTCTTGGGCTCAGGGATTGGTGCCCAGTAGCAGTGAGCGATCTCATCTTCCTCAATCTGCTCAACCACACTCCCAGCCTGCACCACATTCGGCTTGCCTCTTCCCCCATAGGTCAGCCTCACTGGAGGGCGCACATCCCTCCTAGGACGCTCAGGCGGGTGTGGAACTCGAGGTGGAGACTCATGCTGCTGCTGCTGCTGCTCTACTTCAGCTGCTCCCCCTTCCTCAGTCACCCCAGACATCTCCTCCTCTGACACTGCAACCTCTACCTGTCTTGAAGGCCGCTGCACCTCATCCGCCTCCACAATGAGCGGTGTAGATGGAAGCTTCTGTTGCTGCTGCTTCCATTCCTTGTAGTACAGGGACTCAAGAAACTTCACATCCCTTGACACTGTCAACTTCTGGGTGGTCAAGTCCCATAGCAGCCACCCCTTGTGATCCTTTGCAATCCCCAAGTGCACACCCCATCTTCCAGAAGCCTCCAACTTCCCCCTTTTCTCCTTAGGCACATGAAACACCACCATGCACCCAAATGCCCTCAGCATGTTCACAGCTGGAGCACTCCCATACCACTTGACGTATGGGATCCACTCCTTATCTCCAACTGTAGCCAGCACCCTGTTCTTCACAAGGGCGACCTGCCTCAGTGCAGACACCCAAAACGGATCAGGCAGCCCTGCACGCCCAAGGAGAGTGCGTGCCCCCTCCTGCAGGGTCCTGTTGAACCTCTCAGCCACGCCATTCTGCTGTGGGTTGTAGGGCACTGTCAGTTGATGCTGGATCCTGTAGTGCTGTTGAAGGGGAACTTGGAGAACTTGGTCTCCAAGCATGTAGGGCAGCTCCCAATCTCCTTCACTCCCCCTTTCACCTCCAAGCCCTTCAGGCTCCCATCCTTCACCAACTTCTGCAGCATAGGGAAGTTCACATGACACAGCCTCTCATGCCATGTCTCCCAATCGGCCTCTCCACTCCTTGATGAAGCCTTAGCCCATGCCGCACTCGCATCCACACCAGCAAGCACCTCACCATGTGTCTGCTGCTGCTGCACTTTCTTGACTGCTTCCAGGACCCCATCAGTTGGTGCAGTTGCATCTCCTCCTGCTGTTGCCTTTGCCGCTGCTGCCGTTGCTGCTGTTGGAGTCTTCCCATTCCATGGGATGATGGGCAGCTGCCACAGGTCCTTGATGCAGCTGGTCTCCTCTTCCAGACTCCACAGCACCTTCTTCCCAAGCTTAGCACGGCAGCTGGTTGGTCCAAAGGTCACTTCGGCCTTGCTCTTCTGCAGTCGTCGCACAGAGAGAAGGTTAGCAGACAAGCCTTCAACCAGCAGAACATTCCCAAGCCCCACAAGCTCCCCATTAGCTCCCTTAACCTTGGCATTTCCAACACCAATGACAGGGAGCAAAGCACCTGACGCTGCTGCCACATACTTGATCTTCCCAGGGGGTTTTACCTCATCAAGCAAATCTGCCCGTGGGGTCATGTGACTGGTGCAACCCGAATCAATCACCCAGTGCGTGAGAGGGTGCATCACAACCTTTCCCACAGATCCCACATCACCCTCATGCCCATGCACATCCTCAACCATAACAAACAAACCAGGATAGGCATTACCTTGTGCACCTTCACCTTGTGCACCTGAGCCTTGCACAGCGCCACCTTGTGCGCGTTCACCACTGGGCGGCTTCATGCCTGGAGGTGCCCATCCCTCCAGCCTGCTGAAGCACTTGAACCAAGGATGCCCAACCTTCTTGCAGTACCAGCACGTGCCCTCCATTCTGGTACTCCCCCTGCCACTAGAGCTCCCATGCCCCTCATTATAGTCACCTCGGCCTCTACCTCTGCCAAAGCTCCTCCCACGGCCTCGGCCTTTCCAACCCCCTCTTCCTCTGCCGCGCCCTGCAGCTCCATACCCCTCAGCAGTCTTAGTGGCAGCACCGCCTCCCACATGGCGTCTGCGGAAGTCCTCCTGCAGAATCTGCTGCCTTAGCCACTCAGGTGTCCATTGATCTTGCTGAGAGTTGAGGGTGGGGATGAGGTTATCCCACGAGTTGTCCAACACCGAGATGATCTTGGTGCACTGCTGCAGCTGAGATACACTGCTGCCCGCTGCTGCCATCCTTGCATAGGTGTCCTTGATCTTGTCAAGGACCGGCTTCACATCGTCCCCTGGTCGCATGGAGATGGCAGCAAGTTCCTTCTCGAGCACGATCACCATCAGGAGAGTGTTGGGCTGAATCACATCGCGTAGTAGTTTCCACGCCCTTGGACCCGAATCATCCGCTTCCACAAGATCCTTGATGTGCTCGAACATCTCCTTGTTGACCGATTGAAGGATGAGGTCGAAAAGCACCGTGCTTTTCTCAATCCACCGTTCACGTGCTTCGCCTTCTTCCGGCATCTTCTCTTCCCCAACAGCAATCTTCAGTAGCTTGTAGCGTTTGAAGGCACTTCTCATCCGTCCGCTCCATTCCTCATAGTTGGAGCCATCCAAAGCTTCAACTTTTGATGGCGGCGGTTCACTTGTCTTCTCAGCTACAGCTCCTCTTCCATTAGCATCTCCTCCTCTCTCATTCATCTTCTCCTTGAGAAATGACGAATTTCAGCCCCCCTTTGCTGTCCACACTCAGCTCCCTCGATATTTTCACAAGTGTCGGCGTCCACGAAATTTCGGCAGAGTTTCCCCTTAGCGGAAGACACATCCAACCTTTAGAACACCACTTAGGCACACCCACAGGCCATGGTGGGTCTAGAAGGGTCTTCAAACTTCTGTAGACTCCTCTCAATGTCCTTAATATTGCTCTGATGCCACTTGTTAGGATTAAGGACGGAGTCTAGGTGAACTTAGGAGCTAGAATTACTCAAAATATAAATCCGAAATTCTGGACAGAAAAGTCGTCTTCACAAGAAACGACGTCGACGAAAACCTAGCCGTTGGAATGTCGCGAAACTTGGATATGTTGTAGCTCTTTATCTCAGCTACCGTTCCCAATTTGAATCATGTTGATTGATGAAGTATTCGCGACGCTATGGCTTTCGACGCATTAGGGGGTAAGCTGTAGGAGGAGAACTTAACTCAATCTCAAGAGTTCAAGCAAAGTTCAAGAATCTCACAAGGAATTTAGAGGAGCAAGAGAAAGGTTGGGATAGAAGAGAGGGATGAGAGGGAAGGTCCCAAGAGAGTCCCCAACCAAGGAAACCCCATAAGCACAAAGATTCCCTCCCTATAGGAACCCCAACTTTGACATTTGTCCCTTCCCAACCAATCCATCCAAGTTGGCCACCCTTGCCAACCTAGCTTGGTTGTTCCCAACCAATTTGCAGCTGTTACAGTAGAGTGACGAATTTCCCCAACCCCAAAGGTCCCAACTCCATATAAAGTCACCCCACAACTTCACTTTGTAACCGCCGCAATTGTAACGCAAGCTCATGAACTTTGAATCTTCATAGCTTTCGCGTTCTTGCTCCGATTGACGCGATTCTTGTTGCGTCGGAAAGATCTTCTCAAGATCTATCATCACAAATACCTGCTCAGACAGAATAACACAAAACACATTCCCAAACTCCAGAACACACACCACACAAATTCTTTCACACACAGTCAAACCATACGTGCGAATTGAAACAAGGGATGGGAGGCAGACAGAATGTGATAACATATGATGACATCACACAGAAGTTGTGTTCTGATCCCTGTTCCCCCCCAACTTCTTTAGGTGTCGCACGGATAGCTGCTTCGGAGACAACTGGCATTGGCCGCTGCTGGCGATCACGTTCGTAATCGAGAACAACATCGCGGACATCTTCAGAGTCTGCTTCGGAGAGTGGAATAAACTCGGCAGTCCCAGCTAACGTGGTTGGCACGGGGATGTCTGTGGCAGCTTCGGAAGACTCAGCAATCGATTCATCCTGTACATCTGCTTCGGCTTCATCGGTAGCGAAAGCACGCGAGCCTTCGAACAGCCTGGCAGGATTTGCAGCTGCTGCCCGGTGAGCACAGAAAACAGGTAAGGTGAGTCGTTCGTAGAAAAGACAATCACGTGCTGGTACGAGTTAACTCGTGCGAAGATCCATAATTTTCTATGTGTAAAACTACTTGTCGATGCCAAGATGAACGCCCCATTTAACAGGCTCCAAAAAAATTTCGAGTGCTGCAGTCGGAGGTCGATATTGGACGATATAAAAAAAAACTCTTGAAATTTTTGTGTTGCCGACTGTTTTTGTCCACTGTAGGTGTGGTGAATAAAATTGTGGAAGAGATGACGTCGACAGCAAGTTGTGGAGAAGAAATGCATGGTCCAAAGCGAAAGTCCAAAAATGCGGTGGAAGATCTGCCTAAGTCAGCAAGACCCTCATCTTCTCCTGTAACGTTCTGTTCATCCGCTCCGCTACTCCCATCTGTTGGTGTTGATGTGGCAGAGACCCTCGGCGTTTGATGCCTAGGGTTTGAAGATACTCAGTGAAAGTTGTGTTCGTATACTCCCTTGCGCCATCACTCTAAAATTCTTGAAGCTTTTCTTTCGATTCTCTTTGATCCATATGGCGAGCAGGAATGCTGGCCCCCCTTAGGTCCTACTTCAGGTAAGTTGAGGATGTCGCTGTAGACTTTTTGCATAAGTGTGTAGCGAGTCGATCCGGGAAATGACTTGGAAACGGTTCATGAGGAAGATTAGCAGTTTTGCACGTTGTGCAGACTGTCGGTCGTGAAGACGGCTTCACCTCTATTCCATCCGGTAAGAGTAAACTGTTCTTGTCAAGAACTGAAGCCTGTATAGAATGATTAAGGATGCCTTGAGATGGATGACCTAAACGTTGATGGCATATATCATCTGCTGCTTTGTGTCCTGTTGATCGCTGATAAGAATCGGCGTTAGTAAAAAAAGGAAGGAATAATGAAAGGAGAAGCGCTGGAGATTCTTCGAATTGTCCAGGAACGAAGCGAGTAAGAGGTAACTTAGTAGTTTTAACTTCCACGTCCAGAACTTCTTCTGGTTTCAGAACTATTTCTCCTTGTTTGATTTCTATTTCTGTTGTGTCTGCTGCGGGTTGACCGATAAGAGCCCTTGTTTCTGTGTAACTGCTACTCTGCTGCTCGGCTTCTTCCACTTCACTCCTGCTGCTGCTGGGACCCCAAGGTACTTCAGGTTTGTTGTTGAGTTGTGTTAGAGTGTCATAGTAGTTCCGCCACGCTGATGTATCTTCTTCAGCGGTGTTTGTTGGCCAGGAATCAAGAGCCGTTATAACTGTAGTGGCTGTACGAGATCCCGTTGGAACTGCAGCTGCACGGAAGTCTATTTCATATTTTTTATAATTAGTTTCCTCAGGATGTTGCCAAGGTCCAAGAGATAACACTCGGTCAGAATCTCCAGAAGTGCCTTGCGATTCGAATTGAAGAACGGAGACGCCATACTGAGTGGCAGCTCTCCCGATGTAAGTATTGTTATCGTTGTGATAAAGTTCCTCGTCCATAGTCTCACAATTGCCTTGTGTCCTGATCTTATGTCGTAGGATTTGAGCCGTTGAAAGAAGATTAAAACCAAGTCCAACGATGATGAGTACGTTCGTAATATGTAAGGAAAAAACTGTGTTAACAGAATCCAGCATGACGCTGCCGATGGATCGTGCCATGATCATTTGTCCGTTTGCAACTGTGACAGGTACTGGACGTCAAAGAGGACGCTGATGAGTGATGAAGAGCATCTCGGCAGAGCACATGTGTTGACCACAACAACTCTCGAGATGCCAAGTGTTGGGTCCTGCAATAATCCGAGCGATGTTCTCAGGTTGTTCGATGGAACTTTGTTCCTCCTCATCGTCGAAATCTGAATCGGTTGCAGGAGCTAGCTAGGGGGGAAGCTTTGAATGGCGAGAGGTTTTAGATGGTAGGACAAAAGTCGAGAGAGAAGAGGGTGAGATTAGAAGAGAGAGGGATACAAGAAGGGGGGTTGTACCCTCAACAGTAGGATCCGGTAAAACCTATCCATCATACAATTATATATATACACATATATATTTTAACACACCCCCTAGGCTTGGTAGTCACAAGCCCACCCCACATGCAACACCTCTAAGCCTAGCACCCCCATACCCTTCAGCAGAGGTAACTGCAGGGAAGGAAGGCGCTAGGCCTTCTTGAGCTACGGCGGGGCGGAGCCAGCTAGCGTGGCTAGCTGGGACCGATGCTGCGAGATGGGACCGATGCGGCGAGCTGGGTCCGACGCGGCGAGCAGGGCCTGACACGATGAGCTGGGGAGGCGCAGCGAGTTGAAGTGTGGGCTTGCTGCCTGGTGCCTAAACCAGTGCGCGGCCCACTGCCGCCCGTGCGATGACGCGACGACGGCGGCACGACAAAGCCGCCACGTCGAGGCTGCCATGGCAGCGCGACAAAGCCGCCATGGCAGCACGACACGGGCACCACAGCGGCGCTGAAGTAACAAGAAAGAGGGGGGTACGCGGCGAAAGCGTGAGGAGGCGGCTCAGCAGGGCGGACCTCCGGCTCTGATACCATGATAACATGAGCTAGCTAGGGGGGAAGCCATGAATGGCGAGAGGTTTTAGATAGTAGGAAAAATGTCGAGAGAGAAGAGGGTGAGATTAGATGAGTGAGGGATACAAGTAGGGGGGTTGTACCCTCTATAGTAGGATCCAGTAACACCTATCAAGCCTACAATTATACATATATAATATATATAATTTAACAGTAGTAACACAATTGGAAACTTGTTTTCCGCATGTGGCAGGTGTTGTTGGTGGATTCTTCTTTACGGGTTGCGTGAACTGCTGCGACTGCGCTCCTCTTTTCTTATCAGCTTGAAGCTTGTTGCAATATTTGACGCTGTGTCCATCCTTTTTGCAGTAGTGACTTCTGTCACTACTTCTGTCACAAATTGTTGACACGTTTTGCAGACGTTGAATAGAAACTGATGTCAACTGCTCCCTTTTTGTTATGTGCTGTTTGCATGTCAAGGTCCTGCTGCTCTACTTGAAGAATCGAAAAAAAATTGGCTTCAGAAGGAATTGGTTGAATACGGAGACGAGATCGACACGGCCGCCATTCTGCTCCAAGGCTGGCGAGAAGAACTGTTACAAACATGGCATTTGGGAAGTATCCGCCGCATTTTTCTTGTTGGTCACGAAGTGTACGGGCCATGTTGCTATAATCCGAAACGTTCTCGTTGCCCTGCATCTGTACAGTTGTCAGTTGTGAGAGAATCTTACTCACAGAAATGGTGTCCTGTGCCATATATAATCCCTTCAAATGCTTCCATGCAGATTCGGCTGGAATCAAGCTGGTGTGAAGAGAGCGCATACCGAGCTGCTCTTCCAGCGACCGATTGCGGATAAGAACTGTATAAGCGCTGAGTGAAGCATGAAGAAAACTTTGTTGCTCCATCTGTGTTCCCGTAATAGGATACAAATAATCGCCGCTGAAGAAGGGCCACAATCCAGCGGATTTTGCGAGGAGCTCAAACTCAAAACTCCAGGAGTAGAAGTCAGCGCCATTTAAAGTTACACTGACGGAAAGTATTGCCCGGATAATTGCCTTAAAACATTTCTCGTACTGGTTTGATGCCTTCTTTGTCTAGTTACGAATCAAATTTCGGGGTTGGATGTAAAGTAGTACTGTACCGTATGTGACGGATGCTGGTTTCAGTTTTACAGGGGTCGATTTTTTTACCGAGGACGAGATTTCGTTCGCGTGGGTGCATCCAGACAATTCAAGCCAAGCAGCGTAGTAGATCTATTTCCTAACCTCGCTATTTCTTCTTACTTGTCCTCGCGACTATCAAGTAGTCAGGAGATAGGGTAGGACCGCTGCGACGATTAGGCTGTCATGAAACCGTTAGATGAGGCGCTCTACGCATAGATCATTCCCTTGTTGCGGAGGGGGTATAGCAATCGTTGAATCGCTAAACAGCTAGGCATAGGGAAGAGTTTGGTCCATCAAGGCGATTGTAGAGTCTAGCCGTGATGACTTGCGTCCTACGATGCCCTCAGCCGGTCGCCCTCGCTTAGTGACAGAGAGAGTTCACCGCGGCATAGTTCGGTCGATTACTAGCAAGGAGGCAGAAATCTCCGCTCACGTGGCGAAAATCATTGAGAAG